GTGTCCTGGGTCTGCCACAGAGGGGTTCAACGTACTTCTCCCCAGGCCGACCAGAAAAGAAACTGATGCATGAAAACAGACTGAGGACTTCAGTTTCCAACTAGTTCCCAATACTCTTAACCAAGATAACTTGTCCGTTTTCTCACTCAGGTAACCTGGCCAAGCATCTCAGGAAAGAAGTTCCCAACTCTAGTTAGCTGACAGACAACCAAGCAGAGTACCTGAAAGACAATGCTGTGCTTGTGCGCGGGGACCCACGATATGTGCAGTCACCCTAATCGGGGCTTCCCCCAGGTCTGCCCATGTACCCATTCTGGTTCCCAGGTCGCCTGGGGTTGGACACTACAATTCCCCTAGGAACACCAAGACTGGGCCGCTGCTCCGGGAACTAGCCGCCTGGTCCCAGCAGGCGCCTGCAGCCTAGGCTGCGCTTCCTCCTCCCTCTTAGATTTTTTTACTGCTCATTAGTGGGAGTACCAGGGGGTGAGGAGGGGAAACATAAAGGAGCTGAAATTCAAACCAGTCCATTTTCCTCCAGCTAGGTGCCTCCTATAACAGCCAGGCAGGATTTCACCACACAGGAGCGCCACAGGCCCAGCCTGGGGAGGTTTAAGCAGCCAGGTGTGGGGGGCAGGAGTGGCACAATCTCAGGACCCCAGCAGCTGGGAGCCCTGGCATCCAATCATTGCAGGAGCTCTAGGCGACACGCCTGCATATCCTCTTTTCAGGACTAAAGGGCACTTCCAGCCATGGGCTGGCCATCATTTCAAGGCTGGGGGACTTGCAGAGTGGGAAAGCATGCTGCTCTGGTCCCTCCACCATTTTCGGCACAATGGCAAGTTCACAAAGCAAGTGAGCCTCATCAGGCTGTGCTAGCAAATTCCCATAAATACTTGGGCCGGGGTAGTACTGCTTATGTAAAATGCTTCCCCATTGAGAGATGCTGCTTTATTTACATTCTTCACAACCCATTCATAAAAAGGAGGCCCTTCAATGTCAGGGCTGTTCCTATAATGATCCATAAACTCGGCAGCTTCAGCTCCACACAGACCACTTCCCAACTCCAGAGACAGCTTTCCCTTAAGGTTTGTGCCCTTCCCTCATGACTCACTTTGCGACGGTGCTGAGGCCAGATGTCACTGATGCAAGGCCAAGAGGAGTAAGAACAGATAAAACAAAAACACACAAATCCTCCGGGCTACTGGGATGGAGAGGTGGGGAGGAATGAAAAAGGAACCGGTGGCAACTCCCTACAAAACTCCAACGTGAAACAGCTCTGTCAGGGGGCCAAGCGCCTGCCAGGCTCACAGAAACTTCCTTTGTGGATGTCAGGGGTTCCCCGACAGTGCCCCAAGGGTGTGGGGTCACCAACAGGAAGAGATGGAGGAGGGCTCTCTCAGGCTTCTTTTCTGTGCTGCAGAGGAATCCCTACGCAGGTATTCTCTGTGCTTCTGCACAGAAGCAACACCGGAGCTGCAGATTCTTGGGGGGAGGAGGGAGAGGGCGCCACAGCATGGCTGTCTCGGGGTGAAGAAACAGGACCACCCTCCCACAGCCACTGAACCTGCGCTTTAGGAAGCACAACAGAAACAGCCTGAGCAGTGCCCAGGAGGTGCATCCTGAGGCAGCCTTTCTCCTGCTACTAAAGAAGTAGTAGGGATTTTTTTCTTAATTGACGGGGGAGTGGTCTGCATTGCCATAGCAACTGTGAGGGGTAGCCTTCCCCGCTTGTAAGTGAAATGCTGGTCCATTAATCATCAAACTGGGGACAAAAGGGAGGTTTGGGGAAAAAGGGGATGGATGCAAAATCGATCTTTACTCTTTCCAGCCCCAAACCAGTCACCACCAATCTACTTTTCCACTTCCTCCATGATCCAGAGCTGGGAGTTCTGAAATAGGTAGGACCACAGCTGGCCTTTCTGACAGACCTGCAGTGTGGAGCTGATGGAGCCTGCCCTGCCATCCCTTCTAAGGACCTCCTCCAGAGCCACCCTGAAAAGCCCAGTCCAAGTGCCAGACCTGGAAGAACTTCTCTGTTCTCAGAATCATGTTTTCTCCCTCACTGACACCCGCAAAGGGTGTCAAAAGAGAAAACATAGATTCACTTAGCATGGACAAGAAAAACTGCACAAGAACAGCAAGGCCCGGTAGAGATTGGCCGGACACGGTAGAAGGAAAACAGGCCCTTTTCCCATTTGTGCCTATGTGGTGTTGCACAAGCAATCCATGGAACAGACTCTGGACCAGCAGAAACATCGGGGACAGCAGCTGATATCCCAGCCAGAGCCCTTCACACATGCTCATGCTCTCTACCTCTCACAGAAAAGGTGGGAACCCCCAAAGATCCCACTCTTCAGTGCTCGAAGAGAAGTCCCTGAGAAAGCCTCCTAACTCAGGGGCCAACAGTGGGTCTTCACTCAATAGAAACGACTATGCATGAGATTGCAGAACACTGGAATAGTCAACACTCCCATTGTCCCTGGCCTTAAGAAACTTCCACTGCACAAAACCACTTAAAGCGCCATGGCAGAAAATCCAGGGTCACAGGCTCAGAGGCTGATGACGATGCTGGCCTGAACAACAGGGAAACAAGTGGGATTCAAGTGGGAGAGAGAGGTGGGGGAATGGCAGAAGCAGAGATGCCAAGAGAACAGGTCTGGCACAGCTAGGAAAGAGTCTTAGAAGACACTGCCTAGAGTTGGGGGTGGTTTGTGGGTGGGTGGGGGAGTAGGGTGGGAAAGAATCACCTACTAGCTACCTAAGACTCAGGAAAGCAGGAGAGCGAAGGAAGCCTGCGTGGGACAGCAGGGAAGCAAAAATGACAAAAGGAGGTATTCAAAAAGGAAAACCTCCCTGCCAGCTGCCTTCTCCAGAGCCTTCCACCTTGCTCCTGCCAGGTAGGAACTCATCAGGGAGGGCAAGGGTGCTTGGGCAACTCCTCTCCTACACAGCCTGGCAGGGCTGTCCCTTCCCGACTGCCACCAGAAGAAACCACAGACCATGAACACCCCCACCCGGGACCAAAGGCATGAAGCTCTTGAGATTCCTCAATTCTTCTGGTCTCTGAGGTACCACGAGATTCTCTCAGAAGCACCTTTTGTCTCCTGTACGAGATGATACCTCAGCACCACCCTGCCCGGGGTCCAGATTTTCCTAGGGAGCCCTGAACTCCACACTCACATGCCCCTGGTTGGCAGGCAGGGGCAGCTCCCAGCCAACCCTACCCAGGTGGGGCTGGAACCCACACTGTCCGCAAGAGCCCACATTCCAAACAGTGTGAAGGTTCCTGCGTCCCGGAGCCCAAGCCAGAGCTGCAGGAGGTCAAGAACTAAAACTGATGCTGTTAGAGAGGCTTCAGGCCAAAGACAACGGTGTCACCAAGATCTGGATGTCCCTAGGGTCCTTTCCTGTTTTTGATTGTAGACATGAAGAACAGGCTGAGGGGAAACTCCCAGAGGACACCAAAAAGAAAAAGACTGAAGTATTTTCAATTGGATCATTAGGTTCCCGCCTGAATGTATGAACTTGGCTGGTCATTTCCTACATCGGTGCCCTCTGCTAAAGACTGGAGCACAGGGATCCCTGGGACACACTTAGAGGATGTCAGTTCCAAGTCACCAAGTCTTCTGCTCTCTTGAAACTATCCACAACGGGTTAACTAGGAGCTGCCCCAGATGGCGTTAAACCTCTGTCCATGGGCGACTGTTTGCTGCAAACCCTCAGTGGGGCAAGCTCTGATGCGGGTCACCCTACTATCCCTTCTGGAGAAACCCAGCAAGCATGTTGCCACCGACCAGGGTGTATGGTACATGCCCCGGCGCCCCGGCGCCCCAACGCCCCAGCGCTCCGGCCAAGTCGACCCCACTGGCTTCCCAGAGCCTCGAGGCAATCCGCGGTTAGAGCAGTGAGCCAATGCCGCAGCTCCTCCGGCCCCCGCAGTCCCCGGGGCAGAGTCCGGCCTCGGTGCCCGTCCCTCGGGGTGGGTGCTTCTGACCCGCAACCCTCCCCGACGCCACCACCTGCGCCGGCTCGAGCGGCGCCTTTGTCCGGCGCTTCACCGCCAAGAGGGCCCCTCGAGCCGACCCGACCCAGCCCCTGGCCCGGGAAGAGAAGCACCAAAGCGGGCAGTGGCAGCGCCAGGCCCAGCCATAAGCACAGGGTTCCCGCTGTCACTTGGAGGCGGTCTGACAACTTCGATTCCCCTCGCCCCACCTCGGACTCGGCCACCGCCCCGCACGGTCCCCGCAGGGCCTCCCGCGGCCCACATTCGCTTTTCGAACCGGTCCCCTTCCGTCTTGGGCGCCTCCCTTCCTCCTGGCCCGGTGAGATCGGGTCTACACTACTCCCCCCCAACACACACACATGCCCGGCACGACCCCCCACCCCCTGTCCCCACCCCCATCCTGCAATAACAGGTCAGCTCCCAGCGCGAAGGGCGCCCCCCCACCCAGAGCGGACGATCCCGCGGCGCCGCCCCCGGCCGCGGCCCCTTTGCCTCGGGGACCGCGATGGGGGAGGGGGCGCGCCGGGGGCCTCGCCGCCCGCGCACTCGCAGGCGAGCCGGCTGGCCGCGCCGAGGAAACAACCGGCGTCCTCCCGCCCTCCTCAGCCCGGGACGCCCGGGCCGCCGCCGCCCGGCCGAGCTGCCAACCTCGCGGCCGCCACCCACCCCGCCCCCGGCCTGCAAGGCGGCCGGCCCCCGGGGGGCTGTCACCTCGAGGCGCGCGGCGCTCCCCGATGGCGGGACCGCGGCCGCCGGACCCCGGAGAGGCGGGCGGCGCGAGCGGGCAGGCGGCCGCACCTGCTCCGCGTCGTCCGTCCGTCCGTCCGTCCCTTCCCCGGCTGGCGGGGGCGGCGGCGCGGCGCGCTCGGTGGGGCGCGCTGACGGGCGGCCGGTCCTCTCCTCCTTTTCCCTCGTCCACCTTTCCTTGCTCGCTCCCTCCCGCCTCGACCCTTCCACCGCCCCCCACACCTCCGCGCCCCCCCAGCCCCTCGCTCACCGGGGACGAGTGGCGCGGACGGCGCGGCCCCGGGCGCCCGCAGGCCCCGGCCGGGCTGGAATCCGGCGGCTGGAACCCCCCGGGGGCGCTCAATTCCCGGGCTCCACGCTGCTGCGTCAGCGCCTCCTCCTGGGGGCCGGGGCCGGGCGGGCGGAGCGGGGGCCGCGGCCGGGCGGGGCCGTCGGGGGAGCCGGGGGTGGGGGCGGGCGCGCCGGGCCGGGGCGGGCGGGCGGCGGGGGCCGGACGGGCGGGGCAGGCGGCCGGACGGGCGGGCGGCGGGGGCCGGGCTCCGGGATCCGCTACGCCGCTCGCGGTTCCCCCACAAACTCCCCGAGAGCGGAGCCTCCGCCGCCCTCCTTCCTGCTTCCTCGTCCCCAGCCAATCAGCAGCGCGCCCCTCGGCCAGCTCCGCCAATCAGCCGCCCCGCCCTGCGCTGGCCCCGCCAGCCAATCCGGCCCTCGGCTCCCCCTCCCGGTCCCCGACCAATCAGAGCCGCGGGTCGGTCGTCCCAACGCAGGGGGCAGCACGAGGCGGCCGGGGGAGGCGGTGCGGGGAGTGGCGGGGCCTGGGGGGAGGGGTGCGGTGCCAAGGGGGGGCGGGGTGGGGGCCGATTTTCCTAGCCAGCTTCCTGGGATTTTTCTCGGCGTCTCCAGAGCCTGAGCCCGGCTCCCATGGTGACCCGACCCTGGAGCCCCAATCTTGCAGCTGCTACACCCACCCACCCCTGGGTGGCGTGGATGGGGGGCGGAGAAATGTCGCCCCCTCCCTGACCGTCACCCCTCCACACCGCCGGCCCCCTTTGCACCCTGAGCACCCGCTGCAGAGAAATGCGGGCACAGGCTCACACCCCACCCTCGCCAGAGGCTGCAGCCCCCAGGGGCAAAGCTTCGGGAAGAGCAGCCCAAGATCGGGCGAGAACCAGCCCCCTCTTTCCCGCCGAAGGGGCCCACGACTCTAGCGAAAGGGAGTCGTGCTGAGAAGCCCCTCCCGCCCTTGCCTCATCTTTCCGACTTCCCGGCCTGCCACGTCTCCTTGCCTTTCAAGCAAGGTCGGTCCTGGCTCGGGAACCCTTGCCCGCATCCCTTCCTGCCCTTCACCTACCGTCGTCCCCCGCCCCCAGCCCCAGCTCCCAACGCACCCTCCTCCGAAGCCCAGGATGCAGTCCTCATCCATTCCCAGGTGACCACGAGGGCTGGTCTGACTCCTTGACACCCACACACTCTACCCCACCCGGGTGGCGGGAAGGGGACGTGCGGCATACCAGGCGTGGCTGGACTGTCTCCCTCGCGTCCCCAAGCCGGCCTGGGACGAGCGTGGCCACTCACCTGACTTCCCTCCAGTCGCCAGTGCCGCGGCGCTTCCGTCTCTCCCGCCCACAGACGTGCCTCTCCAAGCCCTAGCACGCTGGCGGGGTCAGTGGGGTGGGTGGGCACAGCAGGCTGAGGTCACACGGAGGCGTGGGAGGTCCCTGCGAGAAGTCGCAGACGCTGCCTGGGGCACCTGGACCGCAGGTTGCCCGCGAGCCCGCCTTCACTTCCAGCAAGCACTGAAGGTGCACACAGTAGGCTCTGGAGAAATGCTGAGCCTGTCCCTCCCTCCCTCCCAACAGAGCCCCAACGCCGAAGCGCAAAGAGGGGGAGGGGGCGGGAGGAGGGGCACCCCCTGAGGGGAAAGGAGCAGCCGCAGGAGGGCACGGAGAATGGCCCAGGCAGTGGCTGGGCCCAGCATGGCCTTGGGCTGAGACCCGCAACCTAAGTGCTGGGGCTGCCCGGAAAAGCACGGGAAGTCCAGCCCGAGGGCATGGCGGGGAGGGGGCTCCTGCTGCTCCCCCCCAACAAACAGCGCTCAGCCAGCCCCTGGGAGCCACCCTCACCAGTGGCTGCAAATCAGACTAAAAACGGCACTTCCCCCTTAGTCTCCAGGGGTATCCGGGAGACCACCCAGCCTGGCACACAGAACCAAGAGGGGGAGGCACAGAGCTCCTGCAGCTTTGCCCCTCTGGCTCTGGCCCCCTCCCCTGCCCCGCGCGCACACACAGGAGCAGGCCAGCCCTACCCTCCACCTCCAGGCTCCCCCTCTCTCTGATGAACCGCAGGGTGGTCTCCTATCCCACCTCCACGGTAACCACACAGGTGCCCAGTGGAAGTGCGCTACAGCACAGGCCCAGGCACAAGAGGGGCCAAGGCTCTGGTCAGTAGCCCAGCCACACTGCCCTTGGCAGGGACTGGTGGCAGAGGGGGCAGAAGAGAAACCTACCTTATCAGGAGCAGCACCCTGCAGCACACGAGTCTGGCAACGGGCAGGACAGCAAGTGGCTCTGGGGTCAGGAGAGAGCAGTTGTATGATTTGGGGCTCCGGTTGGAGGGATAAAAGGGGGTGGGGAGACAGGAGGCAGAGGGATTCTGGGAAGGCCACCCCCCACCTCTGGCCACCTAGCATGTCCTGCAGCTGAAGTCGGGTCTGCCCTCAGGGCCTCCCCAGCCGGTGGGTGGCTAAGTCCCTTGCCCCAGGAGGTCGAAGGCACTAGATGTTCCTCCCTGGTCCCTCCTCCGCCTAGTGACCTGTTATGGCTGGTCAGCAAGCCAGCCGGAGGCCAAGCCCCGCGCATCCCCACAGACCTCGGGCCTCTGCTGCCTTCTCTCACCCTGCTTCTGGGGACCTCTGCCTCAGCCTCCTTCCTTTCCAGCCCAGAACCCATCCACACCTAAGGAGGCTCCACCTCTTCCTCCTTCCTCCAGCTCCTGTGAGTGTGGCCCCCACCCGCGATCACGGCCCCTCCCCGGTGGGGAGACAGTTATATCAATATATGTGTGGGGGGGTAGTCACCTTTCTTCTCCCTGGCATGTCCCCCACTGAAAAGGACTTGACACTTGATCAAGAAAAAGGAATGACAGTCCCTCAGTCGCCAAGGCCACCCCCTCCCTCTAGGCCAGGCACCTCCAGCCCCGTCCAGAAGGGTTAACCGCCCTGGGAAGCAGAGGAGAGGAGATGGCCAGAGAGAACACGCTGCACACCCTTCCCCCAGCACGCACAACCAGACTGACAGCCGGAGCCGGGGACAGACTGGCTGCTCTGTCATCTCCAGCCCCGCCGCCAGGCACCTCCCCCACCGCCCGCCGCAGTCCCTGCAGTCCGACCGCCCTCGCACCCGGCCACCTGGCACCGGGCAGGGCACCCCAGCAGACGGCGGAGTCCCCGCCATGGTTGCAGTGCCCACTTTCTCTCTCCTCTTCCATTCCCAAGTCCCACCTTCCTTTCTGGAAGTGGGGCAGCTCCTCCCCACCCACCCCTCTTAAGGCCCCAATTCTAGGTCTCAGCAACACCTACTGAGCCACCTGGCCCCCTCAATGCCACCACTGGCAAAATCGAAGGGCACCACTCTCTAGGGCAGGAGCACGGGGTGGGGGGCATCAATTAAATTCGAATGCAGCACTTGCCCCCTCCCCCGTGAGAGGGAGCTCCCGGGGGTAGGGGAATAAAGCTGGACTTTCACAGTCCTTTTGCAGCGACCCACTCCCTCTTAAAGGGAATGGAACACCCCTCCTTAAAGAGATCTCCAGAATTATTTGCCCCCAGGCAAATCCAAGTGCACGTCTACCTGCTGGGACTTCCAACCCTGGGGATGGGGGCGGCCCAAGGGTTCCCCGCTATGACTGAGCAAGAGGGGCCTTGCCCTCTCCAGCCACCAGGGAGGCCGCCCTGGAATACCCTGCGGGAGCAGGACGTCCGCCTCCCCTAGGGGTACCTACACACACCCACAGTCACAGCCTGGGGAGGGTGGGGTCAAGGTGAGGCGGAGTGGGGGTGGGGCGAGGGAACCTGAGTGGGACCCACACTCAGCAAAAAGAGACAAGGGTGCTCCGTGCGCTCAGATGTGGGGTTCGCCCGCCTGTGGCGCTGTGGCCGAACCCCCATCAGCCCAGTGGCAGCGCTAGCCTCCAGCCTGCTGGCCAGGCGAAGCCGGTGCGGCAGCCTCTACCAGCGAAAAGCTGCTTCTGCATTCTCCTCCCCTTCCCTCCCACGCGCGGCTCCGGCCCTCTTTGGGGCCCCCAGGCTTTCCCTTGGGGGGCACGCTCTCGGCCCCTCACCCAAGTTGCCTCTAGGGCAGCCCCAACAACTGCAGGTACACCCCACTGCAGACTCCTTCCGGCCCCAGCCGGCGGCGTGTGTCCCTGGGGTCCATCTCACCCGCCCTGCCCCCTCCCGTCAAGGGGTGGGGGAGGGGCGCCCCTCGGCTCCCCGGAGCCCGGCTAGGCTGAGGCCCCCCCTGCACCCCGTCCCGCCGGTCGGGCGTCCCGCCCCACCCAGCCCTGAGGGCTGCAGGGTTCGAGAAGGGCTGCGGGTGTGTTGGGGTGGGCTGGGGGAGTCGTCCAAGGGCGCCCGGGCCCGAAAGAGGGACGGAGTCAGAAGCGGGCACTCACTGAGGCCACTGCGCCCGCCCCTCCTCCCCTGGCCGACGCGGGGCCGAGACCGCCGGGGAGGGCGGGCTGCCCTGGCGCCCGGGGCCCCCACCCCGGCCGCCCCCCGGAGGAGAGACGTCCGCGAGGCCGCTCCCCTCCACCCCCACCCCCGGCCCCGGCAGCTGCCGCAGCCTCGGGCTGAGGTCAGGCTCCACCTCCTTTCTCCGGAGGGAGAGAGCCGAGGGTTGTTTGTTGTTGGGGTGTGAGAGGCAGAAGGTTCGAGATCACCTGGCCCGGTGGGCGCGGCGGGCGGGCGCCCAGGCCGGGGGTGGGGGGCGCTCACGCCACCCCACCCCACCCCGGCGGGTGCCCCCCCCAGCCAACCGGTCCCGGCGTGGCCAGAGCGCCCAGGGCTCCAGAGGGTCAGCAGGCGGGCTTACCCCGGCGACCCAGACGGCTTTCCTGCTCGCAAGCAGCTTCCAGTCCGGGGTCGGGAGGGCCGGGAACCGAGGGACGAGCCGACGGCCAGCAGCGTGATAACTTAATGACAGCAACACGTGACCACGGCCGCTGGGGAGGGGGGCGGCTCCCAAGGTCGGGCCCCGGCGCGGGGCGCGGGCCGGGAAGCGACCGAGCCGGCAGAGTCTTTCGCAATAGGCAAGGG